ACATTCTCCAGGGGGATGGCCCAGATTCCCTTCTCACTGTCACTGTACTGTGGATTGCTATACATGATCGATACCATTATGGTGTGGTGTTACCTAATCCTGTAGCGGTTCATAACATGATAGTGTCTGTTTTGTTCAAAGTGTCCATGCATTTTAACCTGCAAAAATAGGATTCATAGACAGTGCAATTGCTTGAAGGAAGTCAGATCATACTGCAGTATTTATTGCATTTGCAAAAAACAAAGCCTCTCTTTTTAATAGGTGCTCCTATGTAAAAAAAAACAACAACTTTTTTTTGTGTGCATTTTTTGGAGGGGGGGGGGGGGGGGGGACGGCAGAGGGCACACGCTTTTAATATAAAGGTTGGTCTTCTGCTCGTCGAGTTTTAGGACTTGATTTGATTTTCCCTCCTACCTGAAAGGTTTAAAAAATAAGAATATTGTGGTCAGTAATAGTACCGGGTCTTTTTGATACAATTCCAGTCATGGAGGATGTGTAGAAAAAATATTTTTGCTATGGACACAGTTAAAAGGGAATTATTGGTGCATCTCCTGCAAAATGATTTCTAAAACGCTGTTAATCTTTATTGCCTGTGTTGATCAGTGCTTACTTGCCAAGTCTACACATTTGAGTCAATTGAATAAAGATCGCACCATACCGGTACATGGAAATTATACTTCCTGTTTTTTTCATGTCCAATACTACTTGGATGTGTAGATTTACTGTGCTTGAATGCAAGACTATCAAATCGAGACTGGCATGCAAGAATGTAGTGTATAGGTAGGGTTGTGGCAGGTGAACATGCATGCAAGCATGTACTGCCATAGGGAAGATGTAGCATACAATGTTTGCCTATCTCTCTCTCTCTCTCTCTCTCTCTCTCTGTCTATCACGTGCCGAATGTTTTGCACTGTGACCTATTTTCAAGTTCAATGCAATATCCATCGCAATGCAAGGTGGTGTGGTAGCCGGGGACCAATGCCTTCATGCATCTAACATTGGTGCTGGTAAAGTCACTGCGAGGTGTAGTTAATTACACACGCCAGTGAGCTTAGGCAAATCAGAAAATTGAGGAAAGTGGGAGAGGCGTGGGGGAGGAAAATTCGTTGAGGGAGCTATGGAATAGAGATCATAATCCATATTTGTGATTGATTTTTTTTCTTCCTCGTGATGAAGGTTTGCAGTCAAGGCTTGCCTTATTCAAGTGACGTCCTAGGAATGTCAATATTTGTATTTCAGTACTTACAGCACACATGAATATGTTGAAAACATGCAGTTGTATGGATTTGTACATTTTGAAATATTCATTTCTCATAGTTGTCCTATCTATATGTATTCTTTTAACTTTGTTTGTGATTGGCAGATATTGAAGAAAAAACAAAAACACCCTTTTTGTGACTCTCCCCCTTATAGATTGTAAGCATTATGGTTATTACAGTGTATACTACATCCATGCATGTACATGTATGGGGTTCTACCCTTTTTCATCCTAGCCAGTCTTGCCAGACATGCAATTTAAAAAAAAACTCAACATTTTGAATATACCGTACTGTATTTTCTAATTCCTGTATGTTATACAGGACCCAACCAGTTTAGGTAGCGAACAAATATCTAATTATCTTTACAATAGTTCAAGAATGCTTCACATGATCAAATACATTTTTTTCCACCTGAAGAGCAACCTTTTTGTTACTTCTTTTCATACTTAACGCCCCCACATGACAATGGCAGAGACTTGTTTCTGTTATTGCTTGCTGGCTGAAAATTGTGTAATTTTGTGACGTCATTTTTTGCTCAATTAGGCCGATGATTAAGTAATTATCTTTTTTTTTGTGATTGTTTATTTCTTACTTTCCAAAACTACAGTAAAACTAAGATTAGTCAAAAGTGAGGATTATAAAAACAACTTGTTGATAAACTAATATTTTCTTGAGTATTTTATTTTTGAGGATTTTAAATTTCTGTATGGTCACAAACTTGAAAATAAGCTGGCAATGCCTGTGCAAGCATGCATTTTACGTATTAAGTACATGCAGTTTGCATTAATTATTGCATAAACAACCATTCGTGAAAATAGCATTTTATAAAAACTATAGGGTTGTCACTGCAATAGTACTGTACCTCGACAAAGAGTGATATTACAATCACCTCTCAAGGCAGTATACATGTATATTTGTATACTGTCCATTTAATTTACGCTCGTCAAATAGTGAATCCATTCACCAAGTCAAATGTCATGTATCTTTTCAGTTTGAAAGTCATGTTATGAAAGAAGCCAGTGTATCTCATGCTTTATTCTCTAGGGTGCATTCAGATATAAAGGAAGAAGCACAGTGGTATGAACTGTGTCTAATTTCCGTTTTTTTCCCACCCATACCAGAGCAGGTAGATTTTGTAGGTAAAATGAGCTTGGTTGTTTATAGACTGCTCAGTCTCTCATGCATCGCTTGGCAGCACTGTCCTGAACTGATCAGGCAAGAACGCCTACTTTTGTCAAAAACCACAGAGCTGGAATTGAACTTGATTTGCACTGAATCTCAGCAATATTACTCCCACTCCTCTCTCTCTTTCTCTCTCTCTCTCTTTCTCTCTCTCTCTCTCTCTTTCTCTCTCTCTCTCTCTCTCTCTCTCTCTCTCTTATTTCTCACTGTTTTGATCTTCCTTAAAATGTACACCATAGCTTTATCTCTTTCTGTAAATTGCTTTCTCGATGTATTCCTCACTCTTTAGTTCTCCCTGCTATCCTCTTTCTTACTCTCTCAATTTTTTTATCAACATCTATCTGTCTCTGAATTTCTCTATGTTCTTCATATAGTTCTATCTTGATACATTGCTTGGTCTAGATACATCCCTCTCTTTATGAACAGGTACATTGTATCTTACCTTCTCTTCATATCTATTTTTTTACCCTAGCTCTCACAATGTGTTATCATTTTCATTTTTTATTAATTTTTCATTAATTTTTTTTCTGCTACATTTCCTCATTCACTCTCCCTCTCTCTCTCTCTCTCTCTCTCTCTCTGTCTTTCTCTATCTCTCTCTTTCTCTCTTTCTCTCCATTTCACAATGGTGTCACATAGAGGAGGCGAGTCGTTCCATCTGTCTTCTATGTCCTCGTCTATATTACTCTCATGACATTTACAAATAGCTAAATATGAATGCTTACTGCAATTTAAAGAGTAAACAATATATTGCATCTGATCTTAATGCATGTTACCTTCAATTTCAAATGAGTTGTGCAGTTGAGCAAGGCTGCATTTAGATGCAGAATGGGGATAGCTAGAGGATTAGTTACAATATCAAGTGGAAAAAAAAAAGGAAAAAAAAGGGATGCCTGTAGTATTGATTTTAGTTTTAGACAGGATATTACAATTTGTATCAACAAAATCTAACAAGTTTTACTGTTAACTTTGCCAAAATGTTTTATTTAGATGTAATCATTGCATTGCTCATGTCTGTAAATGTAGAATTTTAAGTCCCCTAATATTTATTTTTGATACATGTACATGTAGATGAAATACAGACTTTACAGAATATTATCAAATGTTGGTGAAGTTTTTAGCTCAATTTTTTTAGGTTGGGGAAAATGCTGAAAGTTAATTACATGCAGAACAAAGACCTTGTTATGAAGTGCACATTTTTGTTCTATTGTGGATAGAAACCTCTTGATACTATATGTATACTGTGGTTTTATTCTGCTATAAAATTTCCCTTTCTTTATGTTACGCTTATATATCCTCCCCAACAGACACACCACAGTCCCTCCTATGACCTATCATGTCAGCCCTTTGTCCCAGCGCAATAACTACTCTTCCACTAGATTGCACTTTATTATTACATACAAAACATACCATTCCCTCGTTGCCTTTGAAGTTTGGTCTCTGTGAGGAGGGGATAGAGAAAGAGAAAGAGAGTGAGAGAGAGAGAGAGAAAGAGAGATAGAACGAGGAGCACAAGAGAGAAGAATAAAAAGGAAGGCATTGAAGCAATATGATATTGAATATGGATGGCTATAACTATATACCGGTACGCAATTCTCTTTCCAAGCCCACTCAATTTATTTTATGTAAAGATCCAAAGGTCACAGGTGAAGTCGAATGTAAAGTCCAAGGTGCGGTGATAAATGATATCTTTTGCTTACCTAGTTAGTTTTGAGCCATTCTGTGTGTACTTATTGGCCTCACAGAAATGTATGGAATTTTTTTGAAATGCTGAATACAAATAATGGATGTATTTGTTCTCGAAAAATATTTCTAGACCACAGGTGAAGTTTTTAAATATTTTTATGTCATATGATTGAAATGTATTTTTATGTAATTGTTTTATTTGTATATCATGTGAATGGTCCTTGAATTTGGAAAGATAAGATTTGTTTTTCTGCAACTTTGCTGTAGGATGTGTTTGACATTAATTGGACAAAAAGTAAACTGGCCTGGGCTGATTACCTAGTTTGGTATTGTACAATAGTGAAAACATGCTATACTCCGCCTCTCCAAGGGTTCAGTTTTATGTGGTAATGATAATATACAAAAATGATAATACGATAAAACATCAAAACGTGTGTGAAAGGAACCTGCATATATATTATAGACCACTTTCCTTGTCCATTGAGTGGTATTTGTAGACAGGTTTCACTATAGAAATATATAATCTATTTCAGAATTCTTTGTAAATATTCCAGGACTAAATCTAAGAAAGTCTTGTTGGCATTCCTCTAAGTTGGAGTACTGTTTGCTCTTGTATGTAAAAACAAACTAGACTATGACTGGAAATTGTGTCATATATATATTTTGTTATAACTCTTGATAAATTATGAAATTGTAACTATAGCAGATTTCTCATGTATTGATGTTAACCAAACTAAATACAAGGTTTACCGGTATCTTAATAGGCAATACACAGATCTGTTTATTTATAACATTAAATTCATGATTACGGTGCTACCCTGTCATTTCGCTCGTATTTGATGTTGACGATACCTTTACTTTTCTGTCTTGCAGTTCTCCTTGATCAGAAGGTTGAGCATAGTAACATGTACAACATCCAGCTGAAGATCACCGACTTTGGTCTCGCCCGTGAGATGTACAAGACAACCAGGATGAGTGCTGCAGGGACGTACGCCTGGATGGCTCCAGAAGTAATCAAGTCATCTCTCTTCTCAAAAAGCAGCGATGTCTGGAGGTATGTACCTGCATCGTACCACGGTGCATTTTTAGCCCAGTTTTGATTTACCAGTCTTTTCAGTGGGATGTTTGGAGAAGTTGAGCGCTGGTTCTTGTCACGGTTCATGTAATTAGTTGCCGGTGACGTGTGTGGTGGATGGTGAGAATCGAGTAGGATGTGAATGGATGGAAGATCAAGTAAGGTGGATGGATAGAAGAATGGATACGCTGTAGATGGCTTGCGAGACGAAGAAGCAGATTAGAAAGATACATTTAGATCGATAGATAGATGGATGGATGCAGGGGATGGATGGAGAGTTCAGTTTGGAAAAGAAGATGTGTGAAAATGAATGTGTTTTGATAGATAGTCTGATAGATCAATGGATAGGTGCCTTTAGGTGGATGAATCGCAGAAAAGATGGATTGATGAATGGTATAATAACGACAACAGGAATTGGTGGATCACTGCATGGATGTTTTAATGGATTAATTTAAGAATAAATACATGGAAGAGTAATGTATAATGGATGTAAACTTTAAGTCATATATAGGTGGATGATTTGATAAATCAAATGATTGATTGATAGAACAGTGGATTTAGATTGTTGAGTTTATATTCCATGTACCTGTTACGATAAACTCTGATGTGATGGAGTGAATACATGAAGCTTATTCTACATGTCCTGGTATAAATATACCGGTAAGTGCACTCACGCTGTGTTACTTTTCCAGTCTTGTTTTGCTAGGGCTTGGGCTTGGACTCTCTCATATTATTTAGGGCATGAGTGGATAAGTGATCTATATTAGAGTAACAGATCAATCACAGAGAGACAGCTTCTATCGTTGATGTCGTTGAATCTTGTTTCATCATTTTCATTTTGCAAACTAGGCTAAGTGATATGCATGTCACCATTAACTTATTTTCAAAGAATGCAGTTTGTGGGACTACATTGTAGGTAAATTGCTAGTACATTTCTATTTTCCTTGTCCAAGATTTACAGGGAATTCATGTGTGGTTGTTTACCAAATGCCTTTACATTGTTATGAATAATTGACTTTTCATGTGTAAAATCTGGAATTCATTTTGTTCCCTGGCAGCAAAGAATATGTAGGGTTTTCTTGTGTGTGTGAAGATATTAATATTTGACATATTCACTGGATGTACAATAAATCATAAATGATATTGCCTTTGAGCAATAAGTGGTTAAATGTTTTGATCAAGGCTTAAAGTATTTTAGTAAAAAATAGGATTACTTTTCTCATTTTTTTTCATAATTTAGTGCTTGATTGTCCTTACTAATTTTTGCCAGTGACCTGCATGGACAGTTTAGAAATAGACGAAATTTAAGTTATTTTATGAGTTATTTTTTGTCCTTAAAAAAAAAGAGAGAAATTTCCTACACTGTATGTCAAAGAATTTTGAATATTTTTCTTATCTGTACCTGTTGCTTTCTCTTTGTCTTTTTGTAATAAAAGGAGATTCATGTATATTCATGTGCCTACATGTAGTAATACAATTAACCCCAGTGTGTCCAAAGTCCATTAAAATGAAGTATTTGCAAAATTAATGGCAGCTCCACCTAATTTAAAAGGGAAAATTCAGGCACACAACATGCATAATATGTGACTATGTTGTCATGATGGATAACATCATTATTTTATTAGATTAGCATGATCCCTGAACAACATCAAACACCCGGAAGATATTGAGCAGAAACTGAGAATATGAATTATGTTTAAAGGGGTGATCTGGTTGGATGTACATGTAATATTGGTAAACCTTCTCTCCCTTCTTTCTCTTTCTCCTTCTCCTTCTCCTTCTCTTTCTCTTTCCCTTTCTCTTATTTTTTTCTTTTTCTTTCTCTTGCTCTCTCTTTCTCTGCTATTTCTCTCTTTGTCTGTCTATCTGACTGACTGTCTCTCTCTCTCTCTCTCTCTGTGTCACTTATTTATAATAATCATGAAGTTGAAGTGGAATATCTAACACTTGTGCTACTGTAATGACATATAAAGCACCCTGTAAAGTACAGGGCCACCACATTATTAAGTCAAAGGACCCCTTGTAGCTCACATCGTGATTGTGGAATAGACTTCAATATTTTCTAAACTTCTAAAGTATAGTTTTCTGCTTGATGTAATAATTATAAAAACATCTTTGAAATGCTTCTGTTTTAGTGATTTAAAAAAATTGTCAGAGCTTTCCTTTAATGGGCATTAAAATAAAGGCCTTTACAGAAATCTGTACAGATAGCATGTACATGAATTGTGATGTACCTGCAAATGTTCACGTTTTGCCTGATGTATGTTACAAAAATATTAAATTGTTCATAGTTCATACATTTTATTCAGCCGTAATATTCGGTGCAGTAATATTCTGTTTTGATAACATGTGTACTAAATTCATCAGAAACCAGGTACTAACTCTAATGTTTATGTCTCTGATCATGTTAAAGTTCATAATGTATTAATGAGAAGAATTGAATAATGATGGACCATGCGTATGATATATGATCACCCAGAGTAGCAAATTTAATTAAATCTATTCGTCATTTGCAACATAATTATGACATGGGTTTTGCCGCAGGAATACCAATAACCTGCAAAGCATGGTGTAGCAGTCTCAAGGCTGAGCTACAGACAGCGGAGAGGAGCAGTTAGTTCATGAAAACCAAGATAAAAAAGACCCGTTGACAAATTTCGAGGTCAATTAAACCTCATGTGCGGCCCAAGTGGTTAATTATCAGACATAATTTGCATCGCAGAGCTAGCCCCTTGCCATCTCAAAACAACAGGCAGTGTGGAGAGTTATTTTTACCAGGCCAAATTTGATGTGCTCTACTGTATAAACACATGATGCTACTGTGCATGTAGATGCAGGTCGTAGTAGCATGCTATTCAGCACCCGGCACATTTATGGTAATTTTAAAGAATTATTTTTCACCTCTCTCCAGCACTCAACCTTCTCTTTAACTTTGAAATGGATTTTATCGACCTGTAAAATATGGAGGCAAAAAATTCACCTGAATAAGGGATGATAGAGAATAAAAATTTCTAATACATGAAAGAGGCAGCCATTTTTAAAGGGAATTCGACAACAGTCTCATGTTTTCCTATAATTTCTCAAATTCTCAAATTGATCCAAAACAACATCAGAGAATTTATTGCTATTTTCTATTTTAATACCTAATCCGTGCCTTACAGCATGAAACAGGGATCGTAATTAGATTAGTGAGCCCCCTTTCTCAATTCCTATGTTGTTTGCTTCCCCAATGTATTAAATTTGCAATTAAAATGGTCTTATAATATGGCATTCATATTTCCTTACATGGTGACGATCAGCTTACTTCGTGCTCATGGCTGTTTTTTTTTTTTTTTACATCTGTTTGGTTATGTTCAGCCTTATATCCAGAAATCTATCCCATTTTCGGGCAATTTCCAGCTGCTAATGAAATTTACACAAAAAAGATGTTTCTTTTTTATTTATTTTTTCTACGAAGATCGGCTAAGATCAACACATTTAGATACGTACATACAAATTTTATTTTTTTAAACACCCAACACAAAAAGCTAAAACAAGCAAGCAATTGTTGCAATTCTTTGATGTAGCAATTTAAATTGAAATGTACAAGTTTTCGGATCCAGTGTGTTCTTAAAGTTTTTCCAAACCCATTTTGCCATTGAATTGGGTTTTTGTAATGGTAAGTGTAGTTCCTTTTTTCTTTTCAATAAGTGGTTTGTGTCTACTATATCAACACAAGCTTTCTGCAGAAGTACAGAATAGCAAAATTCAGTTGTGTTTTTGTTTTGTTTGATTTAAAAGATTCTAGCTTTTCATCTTTGGAGATCACTCCTTTAGCAAATATTGATTGTTTTACATGTAAATTACCATTGATAGCAAAGACAATGGCAAAAAGTCAAGAAAAAGTAGCTCACTTGTAGCATTTTTTTTTTAGAGGTCACAAAAGGGTTTGAAACATCCATTTTCTGTCAATAAATCCTTCACATGTAAAATAACTGCGTTCAACTAACTTTTATAGAAAACTACTTTACCATCTAAATTTCAATCAATAATTTATTCCACAATGGCTGCAATAATGTGTCTTTATATTTAACTGGATTGTAGAGCATATTCACTCTGTCCAGGCTTTAAATAAATCGGCCCCACAAAATGAACAGGGCGAGGCATCTGTCACGTCACTCATATGCAAATTACCTTAAAAACAAACACAAATAATTACTATTTACAGTGTCTATTTTTACTCCTGTAAGTTTAAGAAAATTACAGGAGCTTTTAACATGTATCGTCCTCAATCCACCGTCGATATAATTATTATACAGTATATCGTCCCCTGTTTAATGCGATCGGGTTTGCCATTCCATAAAAAGTGAAATACTGTAGCTTCTGCTGTAATATTTTGAAATATTTTTTGTTGTGGCTTTGGAAGAATTCTAAAGAAATATACAAATTTGGGTAGTATTAAAGATTTCATAATGTGATCTTGCCGAGTGAAGACAAGTTGCGACAACTCCAAACTCTTAGTAATCTACATGTACAGTACCTGTTTCATTTAACTTAGTCTGTATTAAAATTCAAGTTATAAAAGTTTTCTTCTTTGTTTAATGATATATGAATTCCAAGATATAGTCTGATAACCAGTTTATATTTATATCCATACATAATCTTATAGTATAAGGTCTTAAACAAACAATGTTGCTTTTTTCAATATTGATATTCAACCCTAAAATGTTTGTAAACAAGGCTAAGATCTCAAAGAATTTCCCCATATTTTATTGATCAGCAGACAGATAAATAAGAGTGTCATCTTTGTAATACCAACTCTGATTTCACTTCCGTTTATTTCAATTTCTCTGACCAAAGTACATTGCTTCAGCCTAATATTAAGAATTGCAGCCCTATCTTACACCTCTTAATAAACAAAAAGGTTGTGATGAATAGCCATTGTTTGTAACACAGCTGGAAATATTTTTGTACATTGTATTAATACTAGAAATGAACTC